TAATGCATGCGTGTGTGCATGTATATATGTGGGCATCTATCTGAATTGCAAAAGCCAGGAATATAAAATTTTGAAAGCTTTTCATGCATTTTTGCATATATGCAAATGCGAAAACGCATATTGTGACGACCCATGATGCGCATGTGTTTGTATGTTTGTGTGCGTGTCTGCCCGGATATTTCAACTCGGCAACTAAACAAGCTCCGGTGCTAAAAATGTGCCTGTGAATTCCTGGCCAAGTGCCACCGTAGGACAGCAGTAAAAGTTTTCACGCAGTCTGGGCCCCGCGTACAGGCGCGTGAATTTTTTGCCGGGAAAATTGCTAACTCGGGAACCAGAAAAGCTGGTATTTTGGTTTCTCTCATCCATTTTAAATTTGAAGATTTCAAATTCAGCACCATTTGTGAGTGGTTCTCACGTTCGGGCCTGTGAAAATTTTGGCAGGAAATTCACTCTTAATGATGCAGTGGTATTTTGCGTCCACTCTGGGAGTCGTCGGTACAAAACAAGAAATGGAAAGGCTCACTCTGCAAATTTTCAGTAGTAAACTGGTGTCTGACTGCTAGACCGATTTTGACTTGCTCTTAAGTAAGCTTTGGAAGAGTTAATCACTAACAGTTTTGCCGGCAGGTGGTCAGTATTGCTAAGGTGCTATTATTTGGACCATTCTCAGTTGCCTTCTGCTCCCACAGTCATTTTGAACCATCAGAAATTTTGTAGTATAATACCGGTTGCAGATTGTTCAGCGTTGCGAACTGCGTGGTGTGCTTCCAGCATCCAACAAATTCTTGTCAGTGGTAGACGAAGACATTCAAAAACGAACGCTGAAGACCACTTCCACTTCTGCTTTTGTGCACGAAGCAGCTTCGGCCATGGTGACGTCCTGTCGGAGGAAAGATTTGTTGGTGAACAGAGAAGAGGGCAGTGCGCCTCTTTCGATTCCTGAAAAAACACCGATGCAGCCCGAACAAAAGCTTAAAATTGCTTCTGTGGAGCAATTAAAGCAGCTTGCTGATCGTAAGGTTAGCACAATAAATGCTTTACTCAGTGACATGACTGTGCCTGCAGTCTGAACAAAACCTGACGGTGTCTCCGGCTTGGTCGTCAGTGTTGCTTGGGCTACCGGTCTGGACAACAGTTATGGTTTGAGTACAGTTGCATCAGGCATTTTCTGGCTAAGATATTCACCTTCATCCTTATTTCCTCGCTGTTATGAAAAGTCACCGAAACATATCCTGGAGGCTTTTTTTGTATTCTTTTTATGCATTCATGACCACAGTCTTACATTCAGCGTTACATTTTATGCGGCTTCGTTTTTCCCAACGATTTTTACCATCTCTGGTGAATACTGTTTATTCTGCACGCTTATTCATGGGATTTTACCAGATTCATGTCTTCCCTTTGCAATTTCCTCTGTAGACCACATCTCACCGTCTTGTTTATCATCAAACTGTGATGCTCAGAAGGCGGGATTGTGGAATTTACGAGAGTTATCATAGCTGAAAAACCGTGACCCAAATCCACTTCCTTGCTAATTTGAAAACTCTTGCGCTCAT